CTTTTTAAAGTATTACCCTATAATGTTCTGTATCTTTCTGGTGTTTGTTGTGATGTTTCCCCTTTCATCTCTAATTTTGTTGATTTGGAGGTGCTCTTTCTTTCTTTTGGTTAACTGGGCTAGTGGTCTGTCATCTTGTTTATCTTTTCAAAGAACCAGCTCTTGGTATTGTTGATTCTTTGAATTGTTTTCTTTGATTCAATTTCATTAATTTCTGCCCTGATTTTTGTTATTTCTTCTTGTCTGCTGGGTTTGGGTTTCATTTGCTGTTGCTTTTGAAGTATGTTGAGTTGCAATATGTTGTCATTTATTTGTGTTCCTTCTGATTTTTTGATGTAGGCACTTAGAGCTATAAACTTCCCTCTAAGGACCACTTTCAGCGTGTCCCAGAGATTTTGTTGTGTTGTATTGTCCTTTTCATTTAGTTCCAGGAATACTTTTATTTCTTTCTTAATTTATTTTTTGACCCATTCATCATTTAGGAGTTGTGTTGTTTAATCTGCATGTGTTCCTGTGGTGATTAGGGCTTCTTTGGGTGTTGATTGTAAGCTTTATTGCATTGTGGTCTGATAGAATGCATGGAATTATTTCAATCTTTTTGTATTTGTTGAGGTTTGTTTTGTGCCCCAGTATATGGTCGATTTTGGAGAAGGTTCCATGGGGTGCTGAGTAGAAAGTATGTTCTTTGGTGCTTGGGTGGAATACTTGGTAGATGTCTATTAAGTCCATTTGATATATGATATTGTTTAATTCAGATGTTTCTCTGTTAACTCTCTGCCCTGTTGAACTATCTAATGCAGACAGTGGGATATTGAATTCCCCTACTATTAATGAGTTGGGATTAATCTGGGTCTTAAAGTCCTGTAGTATTGTTTTTATGAAGTTGGGTGCACCAGAGTTTGGTGAATATATGTTCATGATTGTAATATCTTCTTGATTTATTGTTCCTTTGATCAGAATGAAGTGGCCCTCTTTATCTCTTCTGATTAGTTTTAGTTTAAAGTCTATTTTGTCAGATGATTAGAATTGCTATGCCTGCTTTTTTCTTAGTACCGTTTGCTTGGTATATTTTTTTTCCCATCCTTTCACTTTAAGATAGTGTCTGTCCTTGAAAGTGAGATGGGTTTCTTGCAGACAACAAAAAGATGGGTTTTGTTTCTTAACCCATTCACCTAGTCTGTGTCTTTTGACTGGAGACCATTGAGATTTAAAGTTATTGTTGAAAGATGTGTATTGGTTGCCATCATTTTGATTATTGTTTGCATTCTTTGTCTAATTTTGTGTTTCCATAATTATACCTTCATTTAGTTTCTTTCTGTTGCCCCTGGGGTATAGTTGTTTCTTTCTCCGTTCTTTGTATTGCTTCAAGTATTCTTTGAAGGGCGGGTTTTGTGGACATGTATTCTTCCAACCCCTTTGTGTCATGGAAGATTTTTCTTTCCCCTTCAACTATAATAGACATTTTGGCTGAGTATATTAATCTGGGTTGGCATCTGTGGTCATTTAAAACTGGGAAAATTTTGGTCCAGGCTCTTCTGGCTTTCATAGTTTGCACTGAAAAGCCAGCTGTAATCCTAATGGGTTTTCCTTTATATGTGACTTGTTGTTTCTCTTTTGAAGCTTTCAGTATTATCTCTGTTCTGTATGCTTAGTGTTTTTACTATGACGTGCCATGGAGAGTTTCTTTTATTGTCC